ATATGCAAAACTAATCTTTATAGACAGATTGAAGAAAAGAGGTTACTTGAAGCCGTGTCTAATGGCTAGGAAGGAGCACAAGAGAACTTTCTGGGGAGAGAGGATGCTTTATGTCTTCATTTTGTGGAAGTCATCAAGCCATACATACATACACAAAAGGTTTGCTTCATGTCCTGTATATGAATTATAGCTCCGTAAACAAACTCAGTGAGTGTGTGGGGGTGGGGAGATCCTGCTGCTGATGGCTCTCCACTTTAAGTAGGTACAGAACCCGAGAACTCTGCTGCCTCTGCCCAAGTAAAGCTAGTCAGCTGCCTGTGTCCTTCACAGGATGGCTTCTGAGCCGGCGGCAGCTCAGTGGTAGAGCCCTGCACCTGTGGACCTGAGTGGGGGAGAGAACTCCTAGGTGGGTGGAACTGTGAACCTCCTTTTCCTGCTGCCATCATACGGTGCCCGGCAAGGGTCGCTGAACTGACCTTCACCCAGCCTCCTTGCTGGTTTCCCTTTGGGACATCTTCCATACTGTAGTCACTCATCTTTCTAAGTCTAAAAGCTGTCACCAGCCGGGCATGGTGGCACATGATTTTTATCCCAGTATTTGGGAGTCTGAGGCAAGTGGATCTCCATAAGTTTAAAATCAGCCTGGTCTATACAGTGAGTCCCAGGCCAGCCAAGTCTACAAGGTAAGACGCTATTTCAAAACAAAACAAAAACCGAAAATTTGTGTCACCTATACAGCTTGACCTTTTCTGGGGCCTCTGACTATCTTAGCGAGTGGTAAGGTCCAGATGCCTGAGCAAGCTTTAAAATGACCCTCCATGCTGGGGGGTGGGGAGGGGGCAAGGAGCTTGCTGGCAAGCCTGACTATATATAGTTCAATCCCCACGACCCACATGGAAGAAGGAGAGAACTGACTCCTGCAGTCTGTCCTCTGAGCGTGTCTGTGTTGTGGCATGCACATGCATAATAAATGCAATAAAATTACTTTAAAATTAAAGGTCCCCTGTTGCCTTAAGCTCGCCCAGCTCTGCAGCCGATCCCTTCCGTGCTTATTCTCCAGCCATGAAGAACTTTTCTCAGCGTCTAACCTTTGTTCTTTGACTTTGTGCACACTGTATCATTTGCCTCCCACTTCTCCCTTTCAAACTCTGTCCTTTCCTTGGGTCACTCTCACCCACCTCTGACTTCAATTCAAGTATCAGCCCCTTGGGGAATCATCCCTGAGTATCCTGACTGGACAACGAGGATCTCAAATCAGCTTGTTCCCCAGGCATCACACATTTTCAGTAATAAGTCAATGGACTGGCTGAAATATTAAGTACTCAAGAAATATTTATATGGATGGATCGATGAATGAAGGAGCCATCTCTCCAGCCCCCAGTTTCTTTCCTCTTTTAAAAGATAGATAGATACATACATACATACATACATACATACATAATACATACATATATACATACCATAGATATAGGTGTGTGTGTGTGTGTGTGCTTTATCTGCATGTATGTATGTGCAATGTCCACAAAGCCAGAAGAGGTCAATTGATATCCTGGAGCTGGAGTTAAAGAGGGTTGTGAGTTGCCTAATGTGGGTGTTGTGAACTGAACTCCCAACCTCTGCAGGTGCTCTTAACTGCTAAGCCATCTTTCCAGCCACCAACTTTTTTTCCAGGCAGAGATATTGTTTCTCACATTGCCTCTTGTTTTTTCCCCCTTGCTATATAAAGCACTTGAGCTTCAACTAGTTCTTTTGTTAATTCTAACTCCTTTTTTGCCTTCATTTTGTTTTGTTTATGTGGTCGCTGTTTTGAGATAGTATCTCATGTAGCCAAGGATGTCCTGGAACTAATCTTCCTGCTTCCACCTCCTATGTGCTGAAATTACAGGTATGGGCCACTGTCTTAGGCAGGGTTTCTATTGCTGTGAGGAGATACCATGACCATGGCAACTCTTATGAGGAAAAAGATTTAATTGGGTGGCTTACAGTTTCAGAGGTTTAGTCCACTCTAATCGTGGCAGGACATGGCAGCATACAGGCAGACATGATGCTGGAGAAGGAGCTGAGAGTTCTACATCTTGATCCACAGACAGCAGATCCACACTGGGCATAGCTTGAGTGCATATGAGACCCCAAAGCCTGCTCCCACAGTGACACACCTCCTCCAACAAGGCCACACCTACTCCAACAAGGTCACACCTTCTAATAGTGTCATTCCCTATGGGCCAAGCATCCAAACCCTTGAGTCTATGAGAGCCATACCTATTCAGACCACCACAGCCACCTCACCTGGTATGTGTGGTGCAGGGGATCAAACCCGGGCCCTTGTGCAGGTCACAAAAGCACTCTACAAACCTTGCTACAGTATGTTCCTAGTTGAGTTTTGCTTTGTACATAGGGTCTCACTATGGCTGGGATGGCTGAGTCTCGAGTGTTGGTATTACAAGCTTATAATACCATGCTACCCTCATTTCTAAGTCTTTATTGTGAGTGTAGGAGGTTAGGTAGGTAGAACAAACTCTGAACCCCCATTTCATTGGTAAGGAAACACAGGAAAGCTTAGCCACATGCTCAAGGTCACAGAACAAGCGAGTGGTAGCGTGGGGTTAACTCACTTCCCCTGACTCCCAGCTTGATGCCTTTCCTTCGTCATTGGTGTCTCTGTCTCCCTGCAGAACATGTGTCCCTGACAAACGTAGGGGTCACTGGTTCAGCTTTTGTGGGAGCTGGTGTTTGAAGTGCTCTTGGAGTTCTTTCTTCTACTGAGTTATCGTGTTCCAGAAACCCACTGCATAGCATTGAGCAAACCAGCTCTGTTCTCAGCTCCCGCTTGCTGCTGCCTGGGAGGTAACCACAGGTCCTCTTCTTGTGCCTTGGCTAAACAGAAGTCCCTGCTGGTGCACGCCATGACTATGTGGAACCCACTGGTTGCCAAGCCAAATGTAGCTCCGGAATATTCTAGGAAACAAATAAGTTGTTTTGCTCTGGATTGCAGGGATTTCTAATTGGGGATTTTTATTTTGGGCAGTGTTCCTTGGAGCTGGCAGACAGATGGAGGAGGTGGCTTGCTCCAGGGGCATGTTAAGCAAAGGGAACTACTGATCTGCCCTGGAGTATGAGAAGGTGCCAGGGCCCGTGGTGGCCCAACTCTTGCCTTCAGTGACTGAGGCAGAGGCCTCTTGGAGGCCTTCCTGGTTCACAGTGGTATCTCTTCTCCTAGAATGGCCCTGAAAACAAGCGCAAGCCATTAGCGATGCTGTCAGCTGTGTACTACTGTGCCCGGCAGCCAGAACACTGCCTTAGGAAGCAGGGCAGGCCTTTCCTGGGACTCCTTGCCTAGGACTCAGACAGAGCCTTCATTTACCTGAGCAGTAGAGGGTACCACACAAATCTGCTAATAGCCAAGTTTTCAGTCACCAATAGAGCAACAAGGAAGACCTGAGAGAATTCTAGAAACTCTCAGCCTCTTGTTCCTGACTCAGCCATGGCCCAGACTCCCTCTCAAGATGATTAGTTATTAATTCAAGGTAACAGAATAAGCAAATGGCAGACCTGGGCTGAACCCACTGTCCGTGACTCCTAGACATCAGGTCTTTGCATCATCCTTGGGTCTCTGTGTTCCCTAAATTGAAGAACTCCTGTGAGCTGATAAATTCCTTTTTTCCCCTCTAAACTCATTCAGGTTGTATTTCTGTCCTTTACACCTGGAAGCCCAGCTTGGTGGTAGACAGGATTCAGGAATGCAGACAGAACACCCAGACTTCAGATTCATGAACCCATCCGTGGACTGATTACCTGGTGTTTTAGAGTCATGCTACACTAACTGATCGATTTCAAAGAGGAAATGAGCAAAAGCTGAGGAAGACACTGCTGGGGGTGGTGCTGCCATCAAAGTGCCTGTCATACAAGCATGAGGCTCCAGAGCCCACATGAAAATACTGGGTGTGGTGGCGGGCAGTTGTAATTTCAGTGCAGGGGAGGCAGGTAGGAGGATACAAAGTTCAAGGTCATCCTCAACGACACACTAAGGTCATACATACAACTACATACCTTAACTCAAAAATTAGAAAAAAAACACAGATGAAGGAGGGGAGAAGGTGAAAGGATAAAAAGAGGAGCTCGAGTAAGACGAGAGGAAGCAGGAGGACACCAGAAAAGAAGAAATACTTGGGCGTAGGGTGTAGCAGGCTCTGGATGGAACATCTCCATTCTGTTCTAGAAGTCCAGACTTGCCAGTCTTCTTCAGCAGCCTCCTTTTTGCCTGTTCAACCCATGAACTGAAAATCAGCATTCTTAACAATATCAGACAAGAAATCCAGGCCTGGCAAGATGGCTTAGTGGGTAAAAGTGCCTGCCACCAAGCCTGACAGCCACATCTCAATTCCAGAGAACCCAGAGAGTCCCAGCATCCGCATGGTAGCTCACACCATCTGTAAGTTCAGTTCCAGAGAACCTGACACCCTCTTCTGTGTGAGAGCCTCGGGAGACCACTGCCTTCCCTAGTGTCCCGCTTCAATGTCTTTGCTGTGACAAAATATCCTAACAATTTAATGAAGAGAATGCTTATTTCAGCTCACATTTTGAGCTTACAATCCATCACTGCAGGAAAGTCATGGCACCACACACAGGCTGTGCACAGACATCCATGCAGGCAAAACACCCATACACACAAAGTAAAAACAAATACATCTTTAAAACTAAAATATGCTGGCATGGTGGCACACATCTTTAACTCCAGACAATGAAGCTAGATCACAGAAATGCCAGATACTTTGCTGGGCATGTTGTCACCACACTCAGGAGGCTGAAGTTCCAGAGAGGGAGGGATTGGGAAAGATGGTGGCCCACACCTTTAATCCCAGCACTCTAGAGGCAGAGATAGACAGATCTCTGTAAATTTAATGCCAGCCTGGTATACAAGAGAATTCCAGTACAGTCATGGCTGTGTAGAGAGACCCTGTCTGTAAATAAACGAATACAATAAAAATAAAAACATAAACATACAAGAAATCCAAATCCATTGTTGGCCTCAAAGGAAGACCACATTTAGACACAAAGGGATAGTGGGAGTCTGACTCTAAATCCCAGGGTTGGAGAGGAGACACATTAGGTCCACCCCCCTGCCTTTGATCCGTCTATGATTCATTTTAGCCATATCTTTTCTGTGATTATCCATTATCTACCCCTCAGCTCTGTCCAATGTTTACTTTGCCAAAAAAAAAGAGAGAAGCTGTGTGACTTTTCTTAGAGACAAAGAAACCAGGTATAGAGACAGCACCAACAGACAAAGAATGGTTCTTTCCAAGTCCAGTGTGTGTTTAATTACAGAAATATCAGAAACCCAAAGGCAGATAAACCATAAGGAAGTCTTAACCCAGTCAACTGTTTACCATTTATATAATCTTTGGGAAAGGAAAAGGTCACATAAGGACCTTAGTGTTGTAGTTAGCCTTAATTTTCAACTTGGTGCAATCCAGAATTACATGGGAAGAGTCTAAATGAGGGATTGTCTTCATTAAGCTGCCCTTTGAGAGACTGTCTTCATGGGAAGACCTAGCCCACTGTGAGTGGCACCATCCCCTATGAATATGACTAACTGCTTCAAGTTCCCATTATCTGTGCCTTCCCAGCTATGATGGTCTGTAACCTAGAAATTTGAGCTAAAATAAATCCTCCCCCCCACCCATTTGTTTTGGCCAGGGGGTTTTATCACAGCAACAGAAATGGAAGCAGGACACTGGGGAGATTCTGCCATCTTGAGGGTCTTGTGTGGGTTGTCACTGCTATTATACTTCGACATAGCCTCAGCAGGATACAACCTGGAGGAAACAGCTGCACTAAAGAAGAGTACAGGGTAGAAGGCAGAAGAAAGGCTACCCTCCCTTTCAGAAGAGGTCAGCTTCTAGGAAGCCATCTTGTTCTGCTCTTCAAATCCCCCCATCAGCCAAAATAGAACAAAAGCAAGGAGGGTGCAGAACTGCCCCCCACATATTCCAATCTAGTCCTTAGCTCAGCCTGCAACAGAGAGCATCGCCTTCAGAGTCCACAGTGCCAGCACAGGGATGCTTCCACTTGTGCGTCTGGGAGACAGGGTAAAACACACCAAGGCCCTTTGGAGGGATGTCCATCCTTACTGATGTTTACAGTCGCAACTGGGATACCACGGTCACTTTGCCAGCCGTCTCCCCCATGCCTCCACATGACCTAGAAAATGAAGTCGTTTTTTTTTTTTTTGTGAGGAAGGCTTGGCAGTGTTTATGTTAAGTGTGTCTGTCTTTGACATAGACACCTAGCCACTGACCTTGTGAGTCTCGAGAACCTACCAGCTTCACGCCTCGGCTCCCTCACCTGTAAAACAGAGGTAATAACAGCCCTGAGCCTGCAGAAGTAAATGATGTCGTGAGGTTTTCTTTTAGAGTTATTTTTACTTTATATTTGTGAATTTTTGCCTTTATGCACGTATATGCCCCATGTGAGTGTCTGCTGGATCCCCTGGAACGAATGGGGTTGGATGGCTGTCAGCCACCATGTGGGTTCTAGGAATCGAACCTGCTCTTCTACAAGAGCAGAAACCGCTCTTTAGCACTGAACCACCTCTTTTGTTGTTGCTGCTGTTGTTTGTTTTGTTTTGTTCTTCAAGACAGGGTTTCTCCGTGTAGCCCTGGCAATCCTGGAACTCGCTCTGTAGACCACGCTGACCTTGAACTCACAGAGATCCCCCTGCCTCTGCCTCCTGAGTGCTGGGATTAGTGTGTGCCACCACCAAGCACTGAGCCACCTCTTTAGCCCCAATTTTGTTTCGTTTGGCACAGAGTCTCAGTATGTAGCCCTGGCTGGCCTTGAACTCACTATGTAGCCCAGGCTGGCCTTGAACTCATTATGACACAGTGACTATGTAGCCCAGGTTGGCCATGAACTCATGGTTCTACCTCCTCCACCTCCCAAGTGCTGGGGCTAATTCAAAACATAAACCACTGTGCCCAGTGTTATTTCCTTCTCTTGTTAGTTACCATGCAGAGTACCCAGATTTTTTTAGTAATCAGTAAACTTGAGTTCAAAACGTACAGATAGTGCTGAGGATGGTAAGGGTGCTTGCTGCTAGCATGCACAAAGCCCCAGGTTTGATCTCCAGCACTGTGTAAATCAGGCATGGTGGTGTACACCTGTAATCCCAGCTCTTTGGAGACCAGGGTTAGGAGAATCAGGAGTTCAAGGTTATCTTCTGCTACACACAAATTCAAAGCCAGTCTGGGATGTGTGAGACAGTCTCAAACAACAACACAAAACCAGTATGTATGCATGATGCAAAAGTACTTGTCCAAGACAACATGAGATTTCTGGATTTCTGCCCTATCATGAGATGGAGAAAAAGAAAGAGAAGGAGGGAGTGAACGAGGAGGAAGAAGAAGAAGGGAGAAAATTAAAATGACTGCCTATTTTGCAGGGAAGAGAGGACGACGGAGGTCCCTTGCTCCATGAACAGATGACCTGCCATAGTGGTCATGGAAACCTGGGGGCTCTGCATGAGTGGAGGGGAAGCTGGGCACATTGTGGACACTTGCTTCATCCCTGCTGCAGCCTCATTGGCCTTCTGCCTCGTCAATCCGGCAGCCCCTCCCTGCTTCTGTTCCTGTTTTTAAGTAAATCCTTCAGGAAGAGGGAAAGGGAAGAACAGACAAGAAGGGAAGGGGAGAAGAAAGAGTGGAAGAGGGGAGATTCGAAAGGAAGGAGGAGCAAAGGAGGGATGCAGTGTCCCTGCATCCTCATGGCCCCAGGAAGTGGGGCAGGGAACCGCTCTGCAGCTTTGTCAGGAGTCACCATGGCGACCGAGCACTGGTCTCTTCATGATTAATACTCCCAGGCAGCTGTCTTCTTGGAGTCTTTTTAAATACACACAGTATTATTTGAACACAATGATATTTAGAGCAGAAAGATCAAGGTGGGGTGTGGGGGAGAGAGCGGTCCTGTTACCAGAGCTGTGGCAGGGGCTGGGTTCCCTCCCTCCCCAGAGGAGGTGGAAAGTAGGCTGCCTTCTCTGCCATCCCCTCCTGGCTCAGCTGGCTCTCTGGATGCAGCGTTTCCCCTGCCAGGTGCTGCAGCAGCATCACCATCTGAAGGCCCTGGCCGCACCTGGCATCAGGCTGTGTTCAGTGAACACTTGGTGAATGAAATCGTTCATTCATTCATCCATCCATCCATTCATTCATTCACTCAGTGCCATTTTGTCCCTAGATTATCTAAAAATAAATTCCACCTTACCTGTCCTAATGGGAATATGAAATAACCTTTCCCTCTCTTCATGGACACACACACACACACACACACACACACACACACACACACACAACCTACCTTACCACCACCACCATCACCATCAGCTTCTCCAACAGGCATCTGTGCAACCCCTATATGATCCCCAGAGCGGCCCTGACAGTCTTGTTGGGTTCAGGGATGACTAGGTTGTGTTCCCTACCTGAAAAGCTAGAGGAAGACCTTCACCCACGGATGTCTTCGTGTGAATCATTCAGTAAAGTAATGATGTTTTCCTAAATAATCTTGTGGAGTAGACTAACTTAGGCTCACCACTCTGCCCCACCATAGAACAGAATTTGTCCTGGGAAACTCACACAACTTCTCCAGTGTTTCCTCATCGAAAACAGGAATATGCAGCTCCTCACTCTAAGGAGATAAGAAAACAATAGAATGTTTGCGAAGTCTAGGTGGATATTACTTCCCTTCTGAACTCACATGGTTTTCTATCTGACGTGTAACTGACCAGAGCTGGGTCAGAGAGCCGAGATCTTTGTCTTCTATGCCTTCCCAAAGACCCACACTCTATAAGCTGCTGAAAGTTGGGAGGGAAGGTGAAGGAGATGACACCGCTGGTAAGGGTACCACAAGCATAAGGACACAAGTTTGACTCCCAGAACCCACGAGAAAGGAAGGAAGGAAGGAAGGAAGGAAGGAAGGAAGGAAGGAAGGAAGGAAGGAAGGAAGGAAAGGAAGGAAGGAAGGAAGGAAGGAAGGAAGGAAGGAAGGAAGGAAGGAAGGAAGGAAGGCCAGGTATGGTGACTCATGCCTGTAATCCTTGTTCTGGAGAGACAGGTCCTTGGAGCTTGGGGGTCAGCTTTTCTTGAAGAATCTATTGAGCTCTGGGGTCAGAGAGAGATCCTGTCTCAAAATAAATGGAGAGCTGTGTTAGCTAAGCTTCTACTGCTGTGATAAATACCAGGACAAAAAGCAACTTGGAAGGGAAAGGGTTTATTTCAGCTTACACTTATAGTCCATTATGAAGGGAAGTCAGGGCGGGACCTCACTGCAGGAAGCTAGAAGGAAAAACTGACGTAGTACCATTGCTTCCTGGGTTGCTTTCCCATGGTTTGCTCAGCCTGCTTTGTTATACAACCCAGGACCACCTGCTCAAGAGCTGCAAAGCCCACAGTGGGCTGGGCCCACCCACATCAATCATTAGTAAAGGAAATGCCTGGAAGGTACATCTTCAGGTGTGGGGCATTTTTTTTCTTGGTTGAGGTTCCCTTTCCTCAGATGACCCTACCTTGTGTCAAGATGACAGAAAACTAGCAGGCACAAGAGTAATTTAAGAAGATACTTGAGGGGCTGGAGAGATAGCTCAGAAGTTTAGAGCATTGTCTGCTCTTCCAAAGGACTTGGGTTCAATTACCAGCACCCACATGGCAGCTCACACCTGTCTGTAATTACAGTTCCAGGGGATCCAACACTCTTACACAGATGCACCAAAGCAAATAAATAAATCATTTTTTAAAAGATATTTGAGGGCTGGAGAGATGGCTTAAGTGTTAAAAGCACTGGCTGCTCTTCCAGAGGATCAGGGTTCAATTTCCAACACCCACATAGCAGCTCACAACTGTCTGTAACTCCAGTTGCAGGGAACCTCACACAGATATATATGCAGGCAAAACACCATTGCACATAAAAATAGATAAATCTGGAAAAAGAAGATACTTGACATTGCAGTCTCTGAATGCACTAGCACATAGGTGCACACACACATGAACATGTACACACACATGCATGCACAAAGCTGGGGGCGAAAGGAGCTGAACTAGAAGGGGAATACTCAGATGTCTCTTTATTCCCTGCTTGTCCACAGGGAACAAAATACAGATAGGTGTTCAGTACCTTCCAGGAGCAGCAGTTTCGAGTGTGTATGTATGAATGTGTCTCCTGTGTAAACGCATAGAGATGGGGGTGTGCCAGCCCCCAACTCATAGATGTCTCCTGTCTCCTCTTCTAATCTCTCCTGCTCCCTAGGCCTGGTCTCTAGCAAGAGCAAACTAAGGTGACTAGGATACTTGTCCTAGCACAGACCTAGCCCAACAGCCCTTGGCAGAGAGTAGCAGTGGCCTGGCACGGCACCACAGGACTAAGGGAATTATCCATGACTAAGAGGGAGGAGGGGTACTGTGGCAGAGGGAAGAACAGCAGAAGGAAAAGGCGACCTGGGGCTGGCCAATCTGGCCCGGCGGGCCACCTGGGGAGCCCTGGACACCTGCCCAGCCAAGCTACTCTCTTCCCTCCCCTAGGCCACAAGATGCCAGAGCGTATGTGAGACACGTGTGCACTTCCTGTCTGGTGAGGGCTCACCTGGCCTAGGCGATGTATTTGGATTAGAGTCAAGCTCTGGGTCTGAAATAGAGCAAAAGGAAGGGTGTGTGTGTGTGTGTGTGTGTGTGTGTGTGTGTGTGTGTGTGTATTGTTCCTTATAGATGGATTTTTTTAGACAAGGTTTTATGTAGCTCAAATCTAGCCTTGAACCTCTAATCCTACCTCTACCTCCAGAGCGCTGGGATGACAAGTGTGAACCACCACACCCAGTCTATGCAGGAATGTATATGCTAAACAAGCACTCCACAACCGAGCTCTATCATAATCCCCATTTCTGTGTTTTCTATATGCACTCCTGTACATTGACATCACAGAATTGGAATTGTGGCCATCATGAGGACGCATGTGTGCGTGGCTGTAAAGAATCTTGGGAGGATGCATGGAAGCATGTCAGTGCATTCTGCGGATGAGTGTGTGGTGGAGTGTATTCTGTAACGCTTGGAGCGTAAGTCTCTGTGGAGTGGAGAAATGAGTAGCTCAGGATGAAAGGGGACCTCCAGAGTAAACGCAGAGCGTTTTGCAATACTGAGTTTGTACAGTAGCTAAAGTAAGGGCATGGGCTCTTGAAAAGGAGTAAGGGGAGGGGACTCTCAGAGATACACTGCCTACCGCCCTGTAGCCTACACCCTGCAAGGAATGCTTCTATTTTTAGGACAGTAGAAATGAGATGGGGAACCTCAAACCTGCTCCCCCTGCCCTCCAGTGCTTGGAGTCCCAAAAATTGAAACTCCTAATTTAAAAAAATTTATATTAAACTTAATCATTTTATCAAATTATTCCAGGCTGGAGAGGGAGCTCAGCAGTTAAGAGTACTTAACTGCTCTTGCAGAGGACCCAGGTAGTCCCCAGACCCCACTCAGGTAATTCACAACCACCTATACTCTAGCTTCAGGAGGATCCAGCAGTTCTGGGCTCCATGGGTGAACGGAACTGCACAAAGTGGGGTGCTCCCTCCCAGGCCCTGGACTGGGCACATACCACACCTGTTTTCACAGACAGATCCTTCATTAGACAGGGAAGAAAAGTAGTGGCCGCTTTCTGACTCAGGCAGAAAACCAGCAGCAAATGACCTTGCAGCTGTGATTTTTAAAAGGTAAAAAAGGAGCCTGGTGGTTGGTGGCCCACGCCTTTAATCCCAGCACTCGGAGGCAGAGGTAGGCAGATGTCTGTGAATTTAAGGACAGTCTGGTCTACACAGTGAGTTCCAGCATAGCCAGAGCTGCATAGTGAAGCCTCGTCTCAAAAAAAGAACGGAATACTCTTGAATGATAGTTGATCCCACCCATCCACCACCATTATCAAATTTTGCATTATGGCAATTTGTATGTTAAATAAGTTATTTTCGAAGCACAAACTTAGAAAGATGTTTAAGCAGCAGCAAACACATAACAGGCTCATGCGCACTCATAAATAAAGGCAATCTCTCAGAATTTGCCTGTCTCAGACTTCCCAGTGCAATCCTGTCTGGCTTTTTCTGTGGACGCTGGAGTTTCAAACTCAGGTCCTCGCGCTTGCAACTCATGTGCTCTCACCCATTTCAGGGTTACTGAATGTGTCCAGGACTTCATATTATCTGACTAAATGTCTCTGCTTAGCAAGCTCACAGGTGAAGAAACTGGGATTAGGCGGGAAGCAAACGTCGTTAAGTGGAAAAGGGTGGATCCGAACCCTCCATTCTCCCGTCGGGCGGACCACGCACATTTCATGCTTTCATACGGCGCCCAGCCCCTGCGGGGCGCACCCGTGGCCCAGCGCGCACGAGGCTCCACGCTCAGGGGACTCGCGCGCACGCAGCGGCGCGGCCCCGGCGGCGGCAGCGACGTCACGAGCGGAGCTTTCCTTTTCGGGAGTCCCCGGCATACATCCTGTGTCCATGTTTGGTCATTTACGTCACGGCGCCAGGGCCGGGGCCTCCCGAAATGGCAGTGGCCCGGGGAGTCGGAAGCCCGGAGCCAGCACCGCCTCGGCTATATAAGTGGGGGGGACCGTGGGCCAGGGGAGCCCGGGTGCGCTTTGGAGAGGCCACGAGCCGCCGCCCGAGGCCGGTCCCGGCGAGCCAGGGCGTCGCGGCCCCCCAACCCGCGTTCCCGAACCGAGCGTCGGGAGCTTGGAGCTAGGGCTCCGGGCTTCCCCGCCAGCCGCTCGCGCCCCAGCCCAGCGAGGCCCCGGGCGCCCCGCCGCCGCCGCCGCGCCATGCTCCACCTGAGCGACTTCTCCGGCCCCGACGCGCACCTCGCCAAAACCACCGAAGGCTGCACCCACGCCAGCCCCGAACTGCCCCGGCTGCCCGCCAGGGACGCTCCATCGGCCGCCGCCTACCCCGGAGGTAAGGAGAGGGACCAGGGGCGCGCAGACGGAGAACGCGGGTGATGAAAGAGGCGCGCGCGGGGAAGGGGGAGTCCCAAGCGCGGGGTACCATTCCCACCCCCCAACAAGGCCGCAGCCCCCTGTGCGGGCGTCCGTGGGGGTAACCCCCGCTGCAGGCTCGAAAGTGCACGAGGCGCTCTGCCTGTGGCTTGCGCCCCGGAGGGTCTGGTGGAATTGGTCGCGGGCTGCAGGATCGGGGCACGCCCTTGGAGGTGTGCGGGGCTGATGCGTGGTCCCTCCCTCGCCAGGTGACTTTTTGAGCTGGGCTCTGAGCGGTTGCAGCGCCGGGGGCGACTTAGCTGACTCCTGTTTTCTGGAAGGCCCTGCACCCACGCCCCCTCCGGGCCTCAGCTACAGCGGCAGCTTCTTCATCCAGGCGGTTCCCGAACACCCGCACGACCCGGAGGCCCTCTTCAACCTCATGTCGGGCATCTTGGGCCTGGCACCCTTCCCCAGTCCAGAGGCGGCAGCGTCTCGGTCCCCGCTGGATGCCCCTTTCCCCGCGGGCTCCGATGCCTTGTTGCCGGACCTTTACTCCCCGGATCTGAGCTCAATCGCCTTCCCGGAGGCGTTTTGGGAGGCTGCGCCTTCGGCCGGAGCTCCCTCTCAGTGCCTGTTCGAGCCCCAGCTCTCCCCACCCGACGTCAAACCCGGGCTGCGGGCGCCTCCTGCTTCGCCGGCGCTGGACGCTGCCTCGGCCTTTAAAGGGCCCTACGCCCCCTGGGAGCTGTTGTCGGCCGGGCCCCCAGGGAACTGTGGATCACAGGGAAACTTCCAGGCCACCCCCGAGGCCCGTTTCCCTGCGGTAGGGACCAAGGTTGAGGACCTGCTGTCCATCAGCTGCCCCGCCGAGCTGCCGGGTCCGGCCAGCAGACTTTACACAGCAGGGGCCTACGACGCCTTCTCGCTGGCCCCGGGTGACTT